TCCTAGAATTCATGGGAAAAAAAAAAGTGGGGGGGAAGGGCGGGTCAGAGCTGTCGATCTTCCCATTCTATTTCTAAAGTTCATCTTTCCATACAGTGGACAAAATTAACTGCTCACCTCTCAATGTATACATGACTATATATTTTATACACATTTGTTTCTAAGGAAAAAACAACATTTTCCTCCTGGAGGAGAAGGCAGAAAAAAAATTCTACACACAAAGATAGAATGTTATTGCAGTGTTATAGTTTTAATCTTCCTACTATGCAACATGACTATACTAATCAGCAAATTTCATGGTATATAATGTGAAACGTTTTAAAGGTAAAGCTCCCAGTTTTAATTCAACTAATATTTTTATTTCTGTCCAAACTTTCTACTATCCTACTCTTATATGTAATCAGAATTCTACAGTAGATCAGAACAACAGTCTAAATCATTAGCGGTCCACTGAACCAAACATGTGAAGGAACATAAGAAGTGATTTGAAAATCCTACTCAGAACTCACCAACAGAAAACAAAAAAACAAAACTCAAATTCCACTGTGTATTAACAGCATTGAACTTCAATGCTTGATTTTTCTTTATTTCAACACCACAATTAACTTCTTAAGACTATAAAGATTTCCAGTTGAAAAATGGAAATGACTTTAAATAATAAAAGGGGACAATGGAAGTGCTAGCATGGTAATGTTACCCATGTCATAGATAATTCATGAAGTTTTTAAAAGTACTATTTAGACCAGACACGCACAGAGGTACATTTTCACATCCACTTTTACTTGAACAGAAATTTCTGGGGGGGAAAAAAATCTATTTTAGTCTCTTTCAATTCCACTTAAGAGGTGCTTGTACTACATCTGTAATGATCTCACCCAGGAATACAATCTGATCTAGTACACACTCACGCTAAAGCATCCACAAATCAAAATTCTGAAATAAATAATTAAATGAAAAGACATTACCAAGATCAACATTACCAAGTGTGTGGTAATGCATGGGAGGGGATCATTCATTATAATATCATTCCTTAATCCGCTTTAGGAAGGACTGTCCTACCTACCGTGCCAATAACCTCACTCAGCACAGTCATTTGTAACATCCATCCATGGTTTGAGATTAATTTGCACTGACCCAAACTCATCTAGTGAGGTGATCTAATCCTCATTAATGGGCATAAATAGAAAAGAACAATTATGCCTGCCACAAATCAAAAAGGTAAGATTTGTTTTGATACCTATTTTCCCAATACACAGCCACTGAAGGAAGGAACACTGAACACCCCCATTTCATAGGTCCTGAATGAATTTATGTGTAGCCAGTTAATTCAGACTTAGCCAAATTCAGTAATGGCAAGTGCTTCCAGGTGTAAGTTATCTCCAGACACAGAGTTAGGAGTCTAAGACACCTTCCCTCTTCTCACACATCCTGTTTCAAGGCAATTTTCCCACCATAAAGCTCTAGATATTCTCACTAGCATTCACACCCATCAACTGAAAAGTTAAAGACAAAGTAGTCTCACATGAAGAAAACCAAAAAAAAAAAAAAAAAGAAAAAGGAAACTTAAGGTTTTTTATAGCTAAGAAAGTTGCATCTTTACCAGCCCCATTAATTCAGTCCCATTAATTGATAAAAATATTTCCTATACAGAGTTATATTATATGTTCACTATGTCTTAAGTTCTTTGCTAGAAGACATAACCTCATTCCTTTTAATCCTCAGTTTCCCTTTACCACAGAAACAAACAAACAAAGAACGCATTCCATAGCTACACACAAAAAAAAAATCAAGCTTTTGCTACATGCAAATATATATTTTTTTCTTCTCAACTGCTTATTAATATCAACTTTCATATTGAAGGTAATTCCAAATAAGTGTCCTGATGAAGTCTGGAGATTTCTTGTAATATTGTTTATAAAGGCAGGTGAAAACCAGTATCACATGATCACCTTTGGTGATGGAAGGCTCTTCTTTTACAAGGCTCTTCACAAAGCGACTTTTGATGTGAAATTAAGGGGAGGACAGACACATTGCAAACATAGTTCCTAGGCAAGTAGAAGAAATACCGCAACTGATAACACAAAAATTGAAAAAGGAGAAGGGGTTGGTGTGACTACATTACATCAAGCGAAGACGATTGATATCTCTGCCTTGTGTGTTCTGAAGTTGAATAGTTCTTATTACTCAAAAGTATTTTTTACAAAGACCTGTAACTCAAAACTGACATCTTGGACTTAGATATACCCAGAGAGAGGAAACACCTTTTTCAGACCTGCAGAAAAAAAACCCTTGTCATCTTTTCTTTTGCCCTTCCAAAATGAGGCACATTTTAAATGTCATGGCAAATATACAGCGAAACTCAAACCATTCTGCATCTAGTGGGCTCAGAAATTGTATCTTAATTTGAAAGCTAACAAAAGATATGCCCTTCTTCTCAAGACTTCCAATATTTTAGGGATCCCTTCCTCAAATTATGTATTACAAAACTACTTAGTCTGTTAACCCCAAAAACAAAACTAAAATATTTGGAGGCTCTGAAGGAACCTTGTCTTGCATAATTCTTTCTTAAAAAATAAGACTAAAGTAGCTTTGGCAAGTTCTGATGGACCGACAGCAATCTCAACACAAACTCGTTAGACACTCACCAAGAGAGAATACGCAATTTGTAGTAACAGAATACAGTATGTTCTGAAGTAATCTTGATGTGGAAAGTGACCCAATAATTGTAACACTCAAGAATGTGAGTGCTCACTGGGCTACTTCAGACAAACAGAACTGGTGCTGTCCAATCACTCAAACACCAGATCAAAGTTAATGCTCATCAAATGACAAAGATGTTAGTTTGTGGAAACATGGGTGTTTGCCTGATTACAGGAGACAGGACAGGGACCTACAGATGTGAAGAAGGAAGGTTGGAGGTCTTAAAGCCAAAGGTTAGATCCATAGAGCCATCACAGAATGGTAATAAAAAGCTGTTCAAATATATGTGGAGCATAAATGAGAGAAGCTGCACAGGAAGACTTAACAGGAAGAATTAGACTACAATTACAAAAAGACTGTTCAAAAAAGCATAGGAAAAGATTACAAAAAAAAATGGAACTGAAGACCCAGGGAATATGTAAAGAAAAATTTCTAAACATGACTTGTTAATGGTTAAGAGACACAGTTAGTTGTCAGAACAGTCTGTGTGTCTCATTTAGAGAAAGGGGCAGAGGGCTACCTGTGACGGATATGCTCCTTCCCCAGCTCATAGCCCTGTTCAGGTGCTAACTACCACATTATCTGATCCTGGTAGTTGCCTCCCTGATTTTTTCCCCACCCGGACATTAACCATCCATAACAGTCCTGATGGCCCTATCCTGATGGGGGATAAGGCTAACTGTGAGTGCACCAGCCAACAGTCATTTCTGAATTGAAAGAATGACTATCCGTCAATCATCTTATCCCACAAATACAGGGACAGCCCAAGAGCCCATTGAGTTCTCCTTGCATGGCAGCGGGCTGCACACCAGGATCTCTCCTTGAGCAGGGACACCTCTCAAGGATACTCCTCAAGGTTAAGAGATCCTTCCCACTACAGATTCGTGATAAGTGACTATAGGGCGCCTTTCTCTTTCTGAACTTGTAAACCTTACTTTGTAACTGTGCACAAATCCCTTAGACATAAACCGTTGACCAGGTCTGGGACTAGGACTGGATCCAGCTGCCCCCAGACTCCTCTCAGAAGGAGTTTGGAAAGCAAGGGGGTCCAGTCTGAACCTTGTGACCCAACAAGAGGGTGTCCTTGATAATTCCATGTGTATCCTGAACCTCCATGCAGTAACTAATAAGTGACCTTGCCATAGAATCTCGTGAAACCATTGTCGTTACCAATAAAACCTATTCCTATTTCTTTCCCACGAGTGAAGTGCATTGTGTCACTCACCCCCCACCACCACTTGTTCCGTGACACTACCTCCACTGGCAATGTCTAAGCCTGAACTTGTAATTGTGAAGCCACCGTGATGATTATAATTTATATATCAGGAAGAGGAGAGAAGCTAATGTTTTGATATACCACACCAAACCCATTCAAGAAATAGCAAGCTTACTGAGTTAGAGGGGACCTACTAACTATACTTGAAAAAGCATACTGAAACCAATGGTCTGAAAGTCATTATCAAGGCCAGAAGTCATCTCTACTGATCTCTTGAAAATGTGGCTAGGAATACAAAGTTTAAAAACACAGATTGCCAGCTTTTCCATGCTTTCCATGCAGCTTCGCCAGCTTTCAAAAGCCAGTGTACACACACACACACAACTTAGCAGTACTACATGATAGCAGTATAATTCACTGGTTTGTGGTGTATTTTATGTTAATATATTGTACAATCATTTTTAAATTAACTGACATTTTCCATTTAATGTATTACACAGTAAAAATCCCCTTGGGAGGATGAAGTGGAATAATGCAAGCATATCTACATTTTCATTTAAAAGTCGACCTTATACTATCCCACTGTATTTTTTTTTCTTTTAGAACATAGGAATTAGAAAGGCAAGCCAGAGAGAAGCAAAACAGTGCTGAGTCAAAAAACCCTCCGATCTGTTGTTTCCACCTCTTTCAAAAAGCACACTCTAAACCAGGCTAGGGTAAAACATCTAAATCTAAAAAGTCAAACTAAAAACAGACTATATTTTATGTAGCAATGAACAAATTACATGGGCTAACGGCAGGATATGCTGTGTTATTTTCTAATAGCAGCACTTAAGTTTTACTCCAGTCAATAAATACAAACATACACATTTCTTATTGCAACAGTCCTTGAAGTCCATGTAATTTAAATTATGTATATGCTTAACTACTTTGCTAAGCTAAAAAACACATTAAACAGATTTCAGAAAAACTTAAATCTTAATACAGATTTATGCGTTACCTTAACATATGTAATCTTAACACATTATTCTATATTTAATTCAAGTCTCTAGATACCCAAGTCAATATAGTTAAAAAATATTACCTGGGTCATTATGTGAGTGAGGTACAACAAAAACTTGAAGTGGTTCACTGTCCCATTCGTTTTCATTGTATGTGATATCAAATCCTTGTTTCCAAACACCACCATCTGGATTATCGAAAGGAAGAATGTCATAGACATCCAACATCTAAAAAGAGTAAAAGAAATATACAACATAAATTCACACACATACACACACACACACACACAAAAAGGTATGCCATTAATGCTATTAAAACCAAAGATGTTTTTGTTAAAAACAGTAATAAAACTGCTTTTTCACGACCCTGGGAGAAATCAATCGTCAAAAGACTAAAAGCTGACAAATAAAAGCAACTTTCAAGTCAGACTAGGACAATCAAATCACTAGCAGGTAGATAAAACCATTTGACAGGTTTAATTCTGAGGAAACTATGCACAAAAATTGATTAGATAAAGAGTCAGCAAAAGACCTGAAAGAAGCAACGAGACAGACGACAGCTCATAAAAGCACTGAGGGACTGGAGCTTATACAGGTAAAGCATTATGCAAATAGGAGATTATATGAATACAGAAAAGGGTTAGAATTAAACAGTCAGTAATAAAGGAGAATATCATGAGATGGAGTGAGGAAAGAGGCTGACTAAAAAGAACTGAAATAATCAAAAAAAAATCAGAACTATAATCAACAGCTATGATGAAGGTCTTTTTATAGCTTCTGCTGTCCTTTATTCCAGGAAAAAATATCTTTAATTTGTACACGCACAGGTAAATAAAGTAACTCAAGCAACACTAACAAATGCTTATGAAGCTCACATACCAACCAAAAAAGATTCTTCCAATGTAAGCTTAGAAGAAAGTTACTGTATCTCTTTTCTTTTTTGATAAGGCTTTGCCTTCTTTCCTAAAAATATACTGAATTTCCTGAACAAAAAATAAGAACTGGGCAGGCTTTTACTTGATGGATGATTTTTAAAATCTATTCTCCTTACACACTTCTGAGATTTATTTCCTACTTTTGAATCACGTGAACACATTTACAAAGAACTATATTATTTTAAATGCATTTTCTTCAAATTAAAATTACCACATAAAGATAAATCAAAAAGATCACTTAAAACCCAAACAGAATAAGTGGCTGGAAATTCACAAAGAGTAAGTGTACAGAAAACAACTATTTCTTAGACAATGCAGAAGTTCTGGAAATAACTTTCCACAAAAAGCAGCAAAATTTAAAAAAAAAATGCACAAAAGTCTCTAGCCTTAAACGTTCATCAGCTTCCCAGCAATTTTACAGTATGGTCCTCTAAGATGATAGAAGACTTGGACCTAAATATTCCTTCCAGACCTATGTATATAACTGATGATTAAAAGCCTAAAGACATGTTCAAAAGATAAAGTGTTCTGGTAATTTAGATCCAATTTCACTCCAATTGAAGCAAAAGTCAATTCTTCTCTCCTCCTCCAAATTTGCTGATTTTTACAACCTGGAAGAGGGGATGAAAGAGGGTGAACGGAAACACAACAGAAGCAATACATTATATACTCTAGAATCAACTTTTAATTCAGAATGAATGCTTGAAAATATTTGTGGAAAACATGAGACAGGAGACTTTTTGCCCAACATGGCACATGTTCAGAACAGGTTGTGATGTATACACAAAGCATTACCACAAAAACAGAAAATACATAGAAGTGCCCTCCAGACAGAACAAAATTCTCTCAGGAAGGGACAAGTGGAAGCATACAATATTCTATAATATAGAAAACAGAAAGTGAGTAGAACATATGAGGATATATAGGAAGGAGGAAAAGCAATTTTCTTCTTTGGGGCTAACAAACAACCTTAAAGACTGAAGTCACTCATGAATCCCCTAAGCAGCACAGAATTTCACATAATAATTAATCAAGGACTACAATTCATAGCAGAAATGCAAGGTCTGGAAAGGTGAGATCTAATAAAAGCTATGAAAAATATGTAATAGTATCAGGCATTTAAAATGCCAAGTTAAAGACAATATTGCTAAAAAGCAGCCCAAATAAGACTGAATTTACCAAGAACACTAGACAGAATTTTCAAATTCTCACAAAGCTGAGCATTTTATTAGTGTTCTTCAGTGCCAACCACCTAAAAGGACAAAAAAAAAAAAAAAATCTGCGTACAGTCATCTTAAGTCCTCCACTGGATGCTGATATTTTCTAAAACACAGAGTTTGAGACTGCCAATGTAAAAATATCATTTAATCATGTCATCACTAATAGTGATACCACAGTCACAAGATAAAAAAAAAAATGCTGTATAAAGTTTGGAAAAAACTTTGATAGGTAAAGTTTACTTCCAACTGAGAATATGTATGGGGTGAATAGGAGAAAAGATCCTTAGTTATTGAAGTTGGAGCCTATTTTATTGACTTCCACATCCTGGCAAATGCCATTTAAAGTACCAAAAGAAACACAAAAGAGTTCGCAGCTGAAGAAGTCGATAGCAGAGTATTCAGGGGCTACTTTAGAAACAAAGCTTAAAAAATAAAGGGGACAAAGTTTGCAAAAAACGACATCAGAACAAACATTTTCACTAGTAAAGCAAGAACAACCAAGTATCCATGTATTTACAATGTCTCATCTATAAACCAGCATATCAGTGAGGAGGACAGGATGGCCCAAGCACAATAAATTCAGATGCTGTTAAGACAAAACAATTTTCAGTTTCTAAAAGCTTTGAATATTGTGTTTTTGTGACACAAGCACAAACATATAGACGTGTATATGTATATACAACAATGTGACATAAACAGACACTTCAAAAAAAATCATTTATATTGCATGGTATGTTTTCACATGATCATATTGTTACACAAAAATACAGCAGTAATTGGTAAAAAGACAAAACATTTAAGTTTAACACACTCACTATGTTATTAAGTAGTTTCTTTCACATGCTGTTATTGAAAGCATTGATTAGTTAACCTGAGCCATAACAAGCCAGTTCCTTTAAAGAGAAAAATTGGGGCTTTAAGTTTTATCAAGTTGTGCAGTGTTTTCTACAGTTTCTCTCTTTGTGCCTTGGGTTTTCAGATCATATGCTTTTTAAAACTCAATATTCTCAAAAGACAGATTAGATGCATGTATTTCTCATGCATCTGATGTTTTATTTGCAGAGTTGGGGAGCACTTCTGACCCCAACTTTTTCCCCTTATCATTTTATTCAGAATAGCTGCCAAAACAACAATTTCAAAAGATGTCTTCTGATATACCCAAATCATTTGAAGCTAAAAGGAAAAAAAAAAAAAAAGATTCAAAGCATGGATTTAATTGCGCCTCAAAGAGCAGCACATTGTATTTGCCTTTTTTTTTTTCAACACAAAGACAACTGTACCTGCAAATAATTGCAAATGAGATATGAGAAAGAAGAATTTATGGAGAGAAGGCAATCTAAGGTGGTAGTATAGGAGAGACAACGGTGTAAGAAATAAGCACACAATATTACGTACCTCTTAACCAACATGCACACACATTGTTCCTTAAGATTCTCCCTAAAAATATCTTAAACTCTCCTTCTCTACCACTCCAATATGGCCTTGGATCTTCTATGCTGTATTCCATGTAAAGAGCAGACCTATTTCCAGTTAACTCTACATTTCAGAATCTGTAAACTGATCTACTTATTTGAAGGCACGTCACTTCTGTATTAAGTGAACTCTGCAAATATATGCAAAAGCTTGTCTTAGTGTACAGTGAGAAAAATAAGTCATAAGTAGTCAAATGATGACTTGTAACAACACAAATAATGAAAAATAGGTTAAATTCTGAAACTGGAATGAGCTGCGCAACAAGCACATGCAAATTCTTGCAGCATGTTTAAAGACGAGGACAAAGCATTCATTGACATCAAAGAAACAACTTCCTCCTTTTAAAAGGAATTTTACAAGATGTTTCCTCACATAAAGAAAAAAAGTCTGAAACACTACTTTATATAAAGGTTGGCTTCACTGAAGAATAATGATGAGGTTAAACAAGATGGCATGAGACAACTGTAGTAATTCAGCACTTCCAAAAAGGAGGAAGGTGCTGTTCATTCATACCTCTTACCTGGTGCCAGCTCAGGTAACCCCTGAAACAGTTCTGGGTTAATTCACAACACTAGAGCACCAAAAAAAAAATAAAAAGTAATCCCTGAAAAAAAAAAAATCTATTGTGTCAGTAAACTGAATTAGCTCTTGGATCAGTCTGAGAAGTGCTAGACTTGAAGCTGAATCAAATATACATTGAGTGGAAGGAGGAAACAAACTAGGAAGGTTATGTGTAGAAGTGACATGCAGTCACTTCAAACACATTTCAGTAATAGATACTCAACAACTGAGGGCATCAGACATAATAGGAGCTGTTTTTAATGTGCTATTCCACTCTTAATATGGTTTAAAATAGATGAAGAAAGAAGGATGATCTGCTAATGATAGCAAGGCTTAGATCTCACCAACAATGAAGAAAAGGAGCTTCGCTGTAGCTTTAAGTATTTGAAAAATCATTTTTTTAAAAAGCAGGAATTTTTAATACGCCAGGTCCTCTAATTTCTTGGGCGGCCCATGTTGAGCTAACCACATTAGCGAAAGTACATTCCCTAGCTATTTCACATAAGCATAACTTCATTAAAACCTATGTAGAAGATCACTTGGGAATTTTCTAACATTCTTTCCAAAAAAGTATTTCAGCGGAAAAACACATTAAGATACAGTTATACACCTAGCAACTACCTTCCTTCAACTATCACTTCCATAAATATAGTCTACTGGAGTCAGTTAAGCCAAACTCAGAGGAGTTAAAAAGTTTTCTCACGATAGCTGATTTCCTTTAAACCAGGAAACTTGAAAAAAAAAAAAACACAAACATCTGAAAGCCTAAAGATATTAAGATTTTTAGATTAAGATACAGAGAAAAGCAAGTAGTGTTACATTACAATAAAGGTCATTATAATCCTAATGCTGTTTCTAGCGGTAACCGAATTGGGCTTACAATGCCCATAACTCTAAATTATCTACAACCTGTACCAGATCATCTTGTCAAGTCACAGGTGTGCCAGAACTGATTCTACCTTAGGACAATATTACTAACATAGCAAATAGAGATACAATGCTTTCAGTATCGCCATTTCAAGTCCAGGGTGGGGGGTCGGGGGGAAAAGAAAAGCTGAATGAAAATTAGATTAATTCCATACTTTCCAGCTTTTTAAAATTTGATTTTGAAGAACCATAAATATTGGTTCTTCAGAAATGGCAGTTTCAGAAGAAAATGCAGTGCATACTCTCCCTCAATCTGTCAGTTACCAACTAGTTACGGATAAACTCTATGTCATCCTGAAAAATGACAGAGAAAAGGCAAAAGCACTGAATAACTCCTCCACCTCAGTTTTTACTGGTTAGACTGGCCGTAAGGAAGTAAGCCCCTGAGAACAGAGAGAAGTCTAGAGCAAAGAAGACTTATCCATGCTGAAGGAGGTTCAGGTTAGGGAGAATCAGGTTAGAGAACACTTAAATAAGCTGAACAAAACAAGTGCATAGGCCCTGATAAGACAAACCTATGAAAGCAGAGGGAACTGGCTGACATCATTGTAAATGTCATCTCTATCTTTAAAAAGAGCAAGAAAGAAGATCCAGGAACTACCAAGCCAGTTAGTTTCATCTCAGTCCATAGAAAGGTGATGTAGCAGCTAAACCTGCATACTATTCTCAGACATATGAAGCACGGGAAGGTGGCTGGGAGTAGCCAGCACTAATTTACAAAGGGGCAACCAAGTTTTACCAATCCGATAGCCTTCTACAGCAAGACAAGGGGAGAAAATTGGATATTTTTGTTACTTTTGTTACTTTGACTTGCAGCATGAATTCACCAAGGGGAAGTCATGTTTGACCAACTATTTTATTATTTCAACAATGAAAACACATTTGCTTAAACTCACTTGCACCTGTTCCTATGAATCTGACTCAAGGGTGGGGCTTGAATCTCACATGCAGGGTTTGTACATGCATATTTCTGCAGACTGCAAAATCCTGGTCTTAACAGTCCACACTGTAGGTTAAGCATACAGTAGGACATGTTAGTAAAAAAAGCAATTAAAAAAATGCTTATATGATTCTGAGTTCAATCACTAGGACAGTCCTTTGAAATAATTGGCTCAGTATGAATCAGCAGAAAAGCAAAAAAGAAAAAAAAAAAGTTGGCCAAGAAAAAATTAGGATTCCAGAACCTCCACTGAAACATGTACAAGCCAGATGAGGCTGAAATCACAACAATTACACCAAGACATCCAGAAGACAGATAGATATTAAATCATTCATTTCTTGTATAGTCCCATCCTCTGTAGGAATTGCCCAAGACATTAAATAAAAATTGTATCTGTCATTTGACCAGATTACATGACTGCTGCAAGACAAAATGAGTTCTGAGTCAGTAAGAAGCAAAGGAGGTTAAAGATAAACATTTCCTTCAGCTATTTAAATTGTATTTCTAATTACAAAATGTTAGTAAAGAATGCAAGGAGCCTGTAAAAATAGAAGACAAACAGAAGTTCCAAAAGGATGCTGGCTGTCTCTTTTATGCTTAAGACTATAATCAAATTCCTAGAAGTTTTTTGATTAAAGTACTTGAATATTTACCAAAAACTGTCTCTCTTCTATATTCATTTATTCTCTGTACTTAGGAACTCAAAGAGTTGAGGTAAGGTTAAGTCTTGGCTAAGTGTCACAAACTGCCCAGCGAACACTGACATACTACATAGAAAAAAGCATAGCTCATGCCTCTTCTGGACATCTTTAACAGTGATTTATGCTCTATATTTTTAAAAACAGCAGTAGGAGTAGGCGCATTGTTTGATGCTTCAGTAATTGAGAGCGAAAAGAGGAGGCATGCTAACTTGCCTTAAGAGATTCTAGAGCTCATTATCATCGTTATTGAGAATCCTATCTGATTTGAACACAAATCCCAGATATTTTTCAAACATTGACCTAAAGAAATGTCAGGTCATGTCCACACTAGAGCTAAAGTTCTTCATTCTGTTGATTTTACTACCTAGCTTCGTTTAGTATGACATTTTCATCTTTGGAAAATGGTAGACATTAGGCTTCTATTTAATTAGAGCAACATCAATTCTCATTTCAACATAATATCCTTCCTACTAACAAATACCACATGTAACATAGTATCATTTCTTGTTCTAGAACTCTTTTCATGTAAAAGAAAAAGAATCTATCTGCCTATTCAAGATTCGGGGAGCTCTGATATTATCAGTAACTTTTTCTCTCCAGCTTTAGCATAGAAAATGTCTTTTTAATGGATATTTAGATCTATTGCAATGGTCTCTACAATGCGGGAAAATGTAATAATGAATTCCCAGAATTTATTCAGTAAAAGTTCTTTTGCCTTTGTTCTCCAAAGTGATTTTTATCCAAACACATTCTCACTTATGCACTCCCTGATTTCTTTCTAGTTTCTCACTTCCTTCTCATACACTCACTCTAAAATAATAGGGAAAAAGGTCAAAATTTGTACTTATAAGTTCATGTTTGTGAATAGCAGATAATTAACATTAGCCGGCTACAACGTATTTGGTTAAGTATTTCAGAATTTAGAATCAATATACCTTTTTTTCTAATTCTTCTCTCCTTCAAACATTCTACTTGAAACTCTCTTGTCTTTATAAAAGACCTAAAAAAAAAATTGATCGATCTTGCAGTCATGGTGATTGATCACCATCAGCCATGGCGAAATGTTTTACACTGAAGCTGCATTCAAACACAATAATTTAGAACAATTAGTTAAGTTTACTGTTAGAGTAACTCTGAAGTCCTGGATTTAGATTCCAAAGCAGTACTAAAATAATTGAAGGATCATGATGGATGAGCACTAATTCAATGACATGAAGAACATTAGAACTCTTCACTCCTGTACAGAGCAAGAAAACATCAAGCACGGACAGGGAAGGAAACGTAAAGAATATTGCCTGTTACACTTGTTATTTGCATATATTATATATAACTTTAAAAATATAGGTAATGAACAAAAAGCAGCTTAGACACTACAACCTAACAAACCGTTAACTGCAAGGCTAGCCAAAATTGTATACATCAAATGTATGTCTGAAGTGCTGCACATGTGAAGCAAACCATAAGGACAGTTTTTACATTCCATCCATAAGAGGTTTACAACATGTTCAGCAACTTAAGCCAACAAGCATTATTTATAAACACGAACTGTTGTGAATTTAGTTCTAATTTATTTTTAGTATACCGAAAAAAGTACATTAGCTAAAGTGGTAACAGGCTGTATGAAGCAATAACTTGTTAAAATACAGTAACTTAAAAATTTGTAATCTTGTATTAATACTAACTTAAGTTTTTGGCACAAATATCTTAATGTATTTTAAAAATACAATCACTCCGATTTTACTGCCTTTAAATAATTCGTTTCTCCATAAATTACATACTGAGAAAGTAAAAATTACCTGGCTATCTCTGAACATCTTAAAAGCATTATAAAAGATACATTGGTTGTTGTAACATTAATATTTATTCATCCTGAGTCCATTGTCTTTCTCCTACAGTAGAAATACATTCACTTCCAGAATGAGAAAGACAGACGTCAAAACTTAATCTTAGAGTACTATGCCTATCCATAATATCCCACAAGACCACCCAAACACTACACATCACTGGTCGAAATACTCCATACTCACAAACCTCACTAAAAAGTAAGAGAATTTGAACAATCGACTAACTGAACATATTTGACTTTAAAAATCACCCCAGTTTATGACAACAAGCCAACACAGTAAATAGTAAGTATTCTTCACTTCTGATCAAGTCAAACCAAAGTGCCTGTAATAGTGTGGCAATACATATAAGCAATATTCAAAAGCGGGCAGAGTACTTGGGATTTTTTAATGATTATTTCTTAAGCGTGCTTTGTCAGCCCCTCAAGACTCATGTATACATCCACCCCTAAACACATTTTTCTATTTCCATCTTCTCTGAGATCAGTTTGAAAAGAATTTTGGAAGAATGTCAAAGACTGTCAAATGAAGAAATTCTTTCTAAAGAACATATGATACTACTCATCAATAATATCAGCTTAATCATTTCCACATGCTGCTCCTCAATATTTGTAGAAATGACAAGTCATCATAATCACAAATTAATTTTCTATCCAGTGTAGTAAAGATAATAAAGGAAGAGTTTCACAAAATTTACATTTAAGCACGACAGTCACCTAAACAATTCTGTTATGGTCTTAGAATACAGCAATTGTTCTTATGAGCAAAGTTTTACTTCTAGTTAGATGTTTACAGCATTATATAACAACATTTAGGGCTCCAGTGAGGATAGGAGAAAGATGTATTGCTTACCTGTACTCCAGAAACTTGACTTCTACTTTTTGAAGCAAACAAACAATCCTCAGAATCAACTGCATGCAAAACTGAAGCAGAAGGAAGAAGGTCAGACAGGGATCCCTGACTGAAGTTTATAGCCTCAGGATTTCTTTGACCATCCTTTACTGATTCACTCAGATTAATCACAGAATCTCGTATGTTTGAAATAATCTCATTATTTTCTGCCAGCAAACGTTCTAAATGGTCTATCTTCTCTTGCAGTATTGAAAGCTGGCCCTGTAAAAGAAAAACAAAAAGGTTGTCAGGCCAATTCTTCACTTAATTTTTTGATTTCAGCTTCACTGTAATGTATCCTCACACACAATTCTTTTTTGTTGTTGTACAAAGACAAGCTATGCAAGAAATTGAATCAACCTACTCACAGAATAAATAAACAAAACACATTTTCCACTACAAATTTGAATTTATAGCACAAGATCTAATTAGTGGTACAGATATGTTTTAAAAAGGTCACACTTTTTCAAGTATCAATTATTCCAACTTTAACTTTTTTCATTTCTAAAGATTTGCAAAAATCTAGTCTTTTTGATTATCATATCAGAATGACCAAAGGGATAGCCATTTTTAGGAAGCAGCTGCATCACACAGAATAAGATTCACGTATGCATTTTAGGGTTTTTCCCTGTACACATAAAATTATCAAATGCCACACTTGCAAACTTTTCTATACAGATACTAAGTTTCTTATACTCAGTAAAAGAAAGAAACGTTAATAAAACCATTTAATGGAAAAAGATCCCTTCACTGCCTAGCCATACCAGTAATGTGTATAACTGGTCATTTACAAACATAATAATAACAATAATAATAACAATAATAAAAAGACATCTTAAATTTACTACGCTCTCTGTCAGGTTGTTCATTACAGAAGAGACATTTTGTGGCTGGTTCTAGTGCACACCAGAAGAGGGAGAATAGAGAATCATATTGGTATGAAATGAAAGAAATCACACAACTCCCAGCTTGGGAAGCACAAAATACAGACACTTCAGAGAAGCTTGGCAGCTTAGCAGAAGCAGCAGGTCTTTGAGAGTGTTACTCCTCCAACCACCCCTTTCAACTGAGGAAATGAAGCTTTTCAGACACAGATATATTAGTTTTTGTAAGAATCGTAAGAGGCCAGACCATTTAGTAGGTTTCTAAGGTCAATTTAGCTCCAGAGTGATTTCTTTCTTTCCTCAGACTGACTTCAATCTGGCAATAATATAAAACATCATAGAGACTGAAACCCAATTACTTCATATTATCAAAATTGTGAACAGACCCCAAATATGAAATTACAATTAAGATTTGTCAAAAAGATGTTTCTGCACCAAAACCCTCTGCAAATTTGGACATTTACACTTTAGCTATGAAATACAGCATAAGCAGCACTGATTCCGTGGAAGACAATTGTTCTGTGATCTATGCCTTTTAATCATCAGTTAAACTTTTTCTTGCACCAATGACTTACTATATTGGCATATATTTGTACTATAGCATAGTACTAGCAACAGCCTCAGTGTCTTTTTCCCCTTTTACAGCCATTTCCTTGAGACATGCCTTTGCACCTTCCTTTAAGGTACAAGCTGTTTTTTTCTCAGTGCCAAATTTGTTTCTAACTTTCACATTTCACTTTGCAAAGGATTAAGCCTCCTGTTTCAATTGTGACGTGCACTTTCTTTTTAATTATGTTCACTATGAGAAGTCTGCAGAAACAAAATCCCTTTAAAAAAGAAAATCCTATAATTCCATCTACACAGCAGGTCTTTGAAGTTCTATAAAGGATATGTTCTAGTATTTTTGAAACTCTGAAGTCTAAAAACTTGTTCGTTCAGTGTTCTAAGACTGTGGAAAGTGTTGTTATTTTTTCTACTTCTTTAATAAACCCTGAGAGGAATAATAAGTTTCAAAATGCAACTCAGGTAAACACTCACCATTATCTAAAAGACAAAAATTTATTTTGGCAATATACCCAGATTAAATTAATTGATATGTAGAGCAAACATCTTAGAGTCTAAACAGTTTAAAGGCCAATACTAAAAGGATTTCAAATGTAGGAATTGTAAGGAAACAGTAAATCAATACACAGATGATTGGGTAATGAAAAAAAAAAATGTAGTTCCATGCCCCCTGGTGGCACACAAGAAACAAATGAGACTGAAGTCTTTCAAATGTTACATTTAAGGAAACGCATGCATTTCTAAAATCAAGTGTTTTCTCTTTCAATGTCCATGAAACCTAAAAAAATGAGTTTTCACCGTTCAGACAAGTCTACTATGCCACTTACATAAAATAAAAATATACAAAATATCATTTGGGGCTTTACAGGTTACCCAGCATAACCTTTGATCTTTTGAATTCCTAAAAAGCTAAAACATAGCTTTTTTTTTTTTCTACTCAAGTTATTACCTGCTTCACTGCACGTGGCTATAGTTCAAAGTTACAAAATAATTAAGGAGCTAAAATGCTATCTGCAACTCTACACCATGCCTTCACAAACCATAAAATCACACTATTTAAAAGGTATATTTCCATTCCATTCCTTCTGGAAATACTTTACAGCTACTTACAAGAGAACAATTACATACTGTTTACCAATAAACTATTTCCTGTCTAGTCGTATGTTAAGAATAGCGATCTAGGTCATGTTATCTAACCAAGTATTCTTTCTCTATTAGCCACAAGTAACTGATGCAAAGAAAAAAAACATATAAATAAATAAAACCAGACACATTTACACTGATCTTCCTTTTCCACATGCTCCCAACTTGCAGGAGAGACAGACCTCCAAAACAGGATGTCATACCACATTAAGTATGTCTAGATGGACCCTTCCTTGAACCTATTACATCCTAAAACTCCAATATGTTAGGATAACAACCATCCTACCATCTTATTGTGTATTATGAGAGAGAATATATTACTTTTTAAACTTTAAGCCAAGTTCTCTATCTCTTGTATTATGAGGAATTTATCCCCTGATGATCTTCAAGCAGTAATGATTTTATGGACTACCATACCCTTCTATCAAGTAACTCATTTTCCAAGATGGAAAGTCTACATAGGATTCTGAAGAGCAGCAATTCTTAAAAGTATGTGAAAAACAGAACTACTTTTACCATAGAGGTAGACACTGCTATGTGGAAGTGGGAATCCTTACAAAGTCCTCCCTTTCTCAAAAGTGGAGCACAAATCAGGTCTATTCTCCTTTCCTCCTCGAGAAGTGACATGAATGGTGCCCTTTTATACAAAGGACATTGTATAAATGTCCTTTAGATGCATTTCAACACAGCATCTACCAACTCAATTTGAACGCAAAACAATTGAAAAGCTACAGTAAAGAACAAGCTTATGGCTCATACAGCACTCAAAAAACAATAAGCAGCACTATCTTCAATTTTTTATATTACTTTGATTTCATTACGATATGAACCGGCTACAGAAGTTAACTTTAAGAAACTGTAATATCATAAACTCGACATGAGCTGAAGTTTCCATTCAATAAGAAAACAAAGTAGAGTCAAGAATCCACCTGCAAATTTAAAATTTCATGTGGATCCAGAGTATGCAAAATAATCTACCTACATGTTTCATTCCACACTCACCCTTTTATTTACTCCTTTTAGATAGGTAGCTGACAACGCTTAGAATGTACTATTCAATACTAAAGCTTTTTGAAACATGAGATAAACACACAAAAAAATTCCAAGTCTTCAAGACAACGAAATTAACAAATAGGAACAAAACAAACTCAGTATCAACCTTTCTAAAAGAAATGACTGAATTGTACAGTCCAGTATGAATAATCAAAGGCAAATAGTGCAAAAGTGAAGTTGCACTAAAATGTTTCATTTTACTAATTTACTATGTGCTACAAATGCATGTTGATCTACCATTAGAAACATTTTACAAGAGCCCCAAACTGGTACTAATTAAAGCATAAAGACAGAATAAAAGAAACAAATTAAAACATAGGAGCCCTGTTCATGAATAAAATTGTATTCTAAAAGTATTTTGTCTTTAAATTTTGAAAAATTTCTACACAATAGGTTTGTGGTTTTTTAAATCCACAGCAGAGATGCATCAATATTGCCTGATCAAATTCCACCCAAATTCTTGTGTAGATGGCATTGTAGATACTAGATAACAAGATTTGCTCAGTTACATAGTATCTAATTTTCAGTAGACTTCCGCTGGAGTTTATGATATTAATTCTTCTCAAAAAAAGAAACAATCCTGATCTAAGATTGCAAGTTCTGCCTAACAGAAGACTTGAAGGACATTTTTTGGCTGAAAGTATGGCTGAATTCAAGAGGAAATCATCATAGAATGTTTTGCAAATCTACATACTTGCTTTACTTATATTAAATTATGAGAGTCACACGGCCTACAAGATCAGTTAATTTGTTTTTGTATCTTGGCTTTAAAATTCTCTATTTATCTCTGCCCCTATATATTTACAGATTGCACAAATAAATATTTTACTCAAAAAGCAAGAAAGGCATCGTTGCTGTCATTCCACAGAGATGGCAAAAAGTTATACACAAAGCAGTACAGAGGATCCACAAACCCATTAGTAAAAATAGACAGGGCTTCAGTGGCCAAAAAAAAAAAAAAAAACATGCATTAGATGAGCGGCATATCTGCTCACAATTCCCAAGGGCACACAGGGTTAAACTGAATGAACTAAATTTCCCCATATACATTTTCATTTGAAAGCAGTACAGACGAGATCATTCTCCACCCATTTGGAACAGGCACTCCATATATGTTATCTGCAACAGGCAACCGGCTGCTACCACCACAAGAATCAGCTGCATAAACAGTTCCTTCTGCTTCAGTCAGTCTTAACCCTTCAGCAGTTTTCATTCCCCACATATTCTTGGTTTCTCCTCTGTCCTCTACTTCTCCTTCTACCTTTGCTTCTGACAGTAGTCTAAATTGTAGCAAGTCTAAAACTCTCACCAGAAGAAATGCTCTGCAGCTCAGCATGAAAAGGAAAACCCAGTATTACAATGGAGGTACAGGCTGCTTCGTTCCAGGAAGGTGCGAAAAGGACACTTTCTCCCACGTAAACTGAGAAGGGGCATTAGTCGTAACTTTCACTTTCTCACCAAACTTTCACTTCCTATTTTTATGCCTTTTGAAATTGCACTTAATGATCAGTTCATTGGAAAAAGAAGGTGCCTAGTCTAAATAATTGAAGTGGGAATATAAGAGCATGGCAAACCAGG